TGTGACATTTTTCTCTCACTACCCTGTAGACAGCCATTTTAGGAAGTTTTAAGTTGAGGAAGGTTTTTCACTACAACTGAATTATGATTACTTATATTCTATTTGGGGAATATTTGGAACTTTGCATGAGGATTTTTATACTCAGGCACAAAACAAGGTACATCTAGAGGAAAAATCCTTTGTTTTTATATTTTTTGAGAATATAGTTGGAACATTTAGTTTTCTGTTCAAATGTTGTGTACTTCTGCTTGCGACAGACTGAACCTATGTTGCTTCTGCCTTGCTATAGTCACTGTTGTTGTTCTGTAGTGACTCTGTATCACCATTAATACCGTAAAGTGTACGGGGATGGAAATGCAGGAATGTCACAGTCCTGAGGAATTCAAACCACTCCTGTTAGCCTTCAGGAAAAATGACTGAAAGGTGGAAGGGATGAAAAGCGCAGTGTCTTTTTGTTTTCCTGTAGCCCCTTGTAACAACTCAGGGCTACATTACAGAGTGACTGCAGTGTCCTGGTTGGCACTTGGGGGTCCATGAGCCATTTTATACATAGGAAATAGCTTTAGCAGTGATGCCACTTTCGTGGAGGTATAACTGGCAAAATGGATGCAGTGTCTCTGTTCATGATCAGCCTCCAAGGGATGTGTTACCAGAGAGAGTATGGATGCAAGACAGCCACGAAGACTCTGTTTTCATTGAGGCTTCATGACAGTGGCAGCGGACGCGATATGCTAGCTGTGGCAAAATAAAGGGGTGAGAAGCAAGGTACCACCACCACGATTTGAGCTGAAAAGCGTCCAGCAGAGAGGAATGTGTACGCAACAGTCATGTTCTTGTTTAGCGTCTTTAATAAAAAACTCCCATTGCACCAAACGCTTAACAGTGTCAGTGCAATTAAGTGACAATATAACAAATCACAGCATCAGAGTGTTAAAAATATGCGAAAATGGAAAAGAAATACTTATTCAATTCAAGTAGGAAATGCCTCATCACCCATGCTTTGCATATATGGTGTAATTCTGCCAGGACAAGCCCATCAGAAAGCCCCGAGGTGTCATGGGTCTGAAAAGCTGGGTCCACCGCCCTCCCAGCATGCCCACGCTGGCCTGGGAGGTCATTTCTGGCCTATTTCTGCCTCAGTTGAGCAGTACTGACGCTGAGGAGGGCTGATGGGGAGAGAGGAGCAACACTGGCATGTGGCCGTAGGGTTGTCCATCAGCAGCGTGGTGCCAGTACAAGCGCTCACTTTCCCCTGTGATGGGATAGGCCACAAGAGACCAGTGATTTTAACAGCCCTGTAATTTGTAAGGTAAAAAAGAATGATTATGGTCATCCATCTGATTTCCTGCTAAGCACAAACCACAAAGCCTTCTGTATGAATTGTACACCCGGTCCCTAATTTATGATAATTACCTTCAGTGTCAAATAAACTCAGAATAGGATCATAAGTATTTTTTACCTTTGGCTTCCATTCATTTACTCCTGTGTTATGCTAGCTTGTCTATTCTCCATCCAGGTACTTGCAGGTGGATGAAGCTCCTTCTTCATCTCCGCTTAGATATATTTAGAAAATTGAGCTTTTTATATTTCTCACTGTAGGATAATTCCCAAACCTTGACTCAGTCATTTGCTTGTTTTCCTCTGGCTCTTCACTGCTTTTGCAGGGTCAACATCAGGACTCAGTGCAGTATTTGTACAGTCCTCATGTAGGTGCTGTATACAGAGTTACTCCTGTTGACCTCCTGGGATTGTGGTCATGGTCTCCATTGCAGCCCCGCAGTGGCAGATTGTGTTTGCCCAACATGAGCGAACATCTGTGTATGGCAGAACACCTTGTCTTAGAGGTACAGCCAGTCCTCTTTGCACGCACATGTAGTTCCCTATACATTAAGATGCTGATCATATGAGACAGTTTTGAAGTAGGCACGGTTCATTTGCACTTCAGCCAAAGTCAAGGCCTTTTTCCATCACAGAATTAGATCCTGGAAGAAAAACAGAACAAGAGGGGATGCTATGTAACATCAGAAAAAGCTTGCAGTGAAGATTGCTCCTGAACATGTTGTTATTGATTCTGTTTCCCCTCCCTTCAAGACTCAGCCCTGAATATCCATTATGCAGAAGGAGTTACAGCAATTGACTTTGTTACTCCTCTCTGAGCACTGTTATCTCTTGCTCCATACGGCTTATGATAAGGACCAGGATGGAAATCCATCCCTTCACTGCAGCCCTTGCCTTCTGAAGAGACTCATATACCTCACTGGAGGTAGATGGGGGAAATCTATTCAAAGTGGAAAAGGCTGGCTCCACCCCACCACAGGATGCTCAGGGTGGCTTAATTTGCACCCACGGCCTCCTTAGCCTCCAGAAGTGCTTTAGGGGCACAAGAGCATCCGCTTGCCCTACTGCCAGGGCTCAGTGCCAGCCACCGGTGTTGGCAGGCAGTGCGGGCACCTGCTGTAGAGACCAGCCACCTTGGGTGTGCTGCCAGCATCCTGCTGTCCCTGACAGACGTGTCCAGCTTTGCCCCTGATTCTCATGGTGCAGCTGATGGAGGAAACACACAGGGTTGTAGCTTCTTTCTGTGGATGATGCCGTTCTGCAAGTGTTACTTTCTTCCAAGGAGACTCATTTGCTCTGAACTCTGCTTTCAAATAAAAACTCACTGTTTGCTCTGCAGTTTTCAGCCCCAGGGCTTATCCTTTCACCTGTCCATATCCAGCTGGTCCCACGGCCTTTGCACTCCTCCTGATATAGTCAATGGGGGACCGCAGAGTCAGACACTTTCTCTGTCACAATTTTTGGCACTGTAGGTACCCCAAGGTAGCCAATCTCTCATGAGACAGAACAACCTGGAAGAAAGGTGAGCAGACAGGCAAGGTTTTCCCCACAAGAATGCATGCATGCAGCATGGTCCTTTAGGGACTCGGTTTGCATGACAGGAATTTTGCAAAAGGTCCCAAATAATTCCTGAAATAAAGCTGATGAGGCTTTGGGACACGGTGCAGAGTGTGACAAGAAAATGGCAAATAAGTGTAGGTCAAAGTATGCATATAGTCACAATGAAAGCAGCAAAGCAGATGGCTTTATTGCATGGGACTTATTACAGAGCCCTCCAATATTGTAATTCACTGTAAAAATGTCTGTGTGCCAGTCAAAAACTCAACTACTCATTTTTGCTAATCTCCAGGACAAATCACCTCAAAGGAATTTCACTTACAAGAGCAGCACTATAAAAATAAAACCTTTCTCACCATGCAGACCTGTTTGCAGTTTGCAGTCAGCCGTGCGCAAATCCTGCAGGGTTTGCAAAGCTTTTTACTCCTGCTAAATCCACAGTGCCAAAACTCTGACAGGAAGGAGCTGAGATCTGGAGCACCAGCAAGAGGGCTGCCTGCTGCTTTCCCAACTGCTCAGGCTCTTGGAAAGCCACCAGGCTGCACGGGAGTCACTAGAAGGGTACCAAGGGTCACTAAGGGTCACAACATCGTTATGCCAACAAAAGGGCCAAAGCCTGTGTTGCTAATTAGACTTGCAGAATCTGCTAGAGAGGATGAGCAACAGAAAAAGAACTGGCCTGGAGCTGAGCCCAGGTTATTCTGCCAGGGCTAACTGCTGGGAAAAAAATCTCTTTTAACACTAAAATCTCCCTGGACAGCATTATAACCACCTTTCAGACAAACAGCTCTCAGCAGAAGAGATTTCACTGTACAAGATTTAAGGATCACGTTTGTTTAATCTTAGCTAAGAGACCCTCTTCATGTTTTCAGTCATGTCCCTACCATTCCCTGGCTGTGTTATAATCATTTTGCCTCACTCTGGTCTCCAAATAGCAACTCATTTTCCGCTCCTCTAGAGCTCCCTGTCCATGTTTCTGTCAGTAAGAGCTATCTTTTACAGCAGTTGAATGACATCCTCTACAATAAGCCCTGGGCTTGTTATCACAAGGTCTCTTTCATGGCCAAAGATCTTTCTCTTTATGACATTTTCAGATGTTATTACAATTAGTGACACTCTTCTTAAGTGATGGGGGCCATCCTGCATCATTATGGCTATGGTTCCTTCCTGGTCCTTTCTCAAAGGCTCAGCATCATGCTGAACATACACAACATTAAAGTTACATTCCCTTGCTTTTGTTGAATATGGATAAGACTTCTGTGTTGTCAGCTCCTCCGTACCTAAGCCACATTGTGTACGAGCTCTCTGCACTCTATAAATCACACATGGCTATCCTGCTACCCTCACTGAAGCTGCCTCCTACATGTAGGGCAGCTCCTACCTTCTTGCCCTCCAAATGTTTTATCTGGCCTTATAAACTCATCCCTAACAGGATTTCTTCCTTTACCTTCCAGCAATCCTTAAGCTGTTCTCTTGTCCTAGAGTTTTGCTCTTGTATCTTATCTTCAGGATTGATCCTGAAAGCATTTATTTGCATGAACAA